AAAATATTGTCGGGCATAAACCGGTCCGTGGCGCAAAAAAGGTTGGGGACCGCTGTTGTAGGGTATCGTTTCCAGTAACTAAAGTGGTCGACGCTGGAAACTGGACTGACTGTGAAAATGTAACTTGGCAAAAGAAGAATAATCTCATTGTCGATAATGACATCACTCAGAAAGAGATAATGGCATTATTTTTTTTACTAGATTGGAGACAAGAAGTATATTTAGGTCTATAAGTTTTGAATAAAGACACAGTTTTTACAGTTTTTGTAGTTTTGCCTCTGTACAGCACCAAAGATTATTTTAAATCAACTACGCACTCGATACGCACTAGACAGTTGACTTGACAGGCAGTTGTCTGGCCATGTCTTGTTCCCTGGCTGTGTTGTGACAAGTGAAGCAGGCATAATATCTGAAGTCAATTCAAAGTTTTCAATTTATATTTTATACTTTTCCACTGTAATTTTAAATATGAGGCTCAAAGAAACGTCAGTGTAAGTGAAGGAGGCCATCACTAGATAAAAAAACAAAACAAATCTATCAGTGAGAGAACAAAAGCTTTACAAGTCACCAAATAAACAATCTGGGGTACTCAGAGCTCAGTAACACTAAACCAACACAAACTCAGCATCGCTGTACAATCGAGAGATGCCTTCATGAATAGAAATATAGAGTTTACATCAAGAAGGACAGATTAGACTTTGCTCGAAAAAATATAAGAATCTGCAAAGTTAAAAAAAGAGCCTTTGATCGAAATGAAAAGAAACTAATTCAGCCAAGCTGGATTTGTGACTCGCGTTTATTGATGATGCGACTGCCGATAGAAGTAGCAGGATGAATTCTGAAGTGTTCAAGGCTATACTCTCTGCTCAGATTCAGCCAGATTGGACAGTGCTACACAGTGCAAATGGATAATGGCCCAAAGCATACTCCAAAAGACTCCCAAGAGTTTCTCAGGGGAAAGGAAATGGGACATTCTTCTTCTTCTATTCAAAGGCCAGCTCAGTCACCTGATCCCAACAAAATAGAGTATGCTTTTCAGTTATTAAACTGGAGGAAGAGAAAGCCACAAACAAGAAGCAACTGAAGCCAGCTGCAGTACAGGTCTAGCGATATTAGACTTAAGACAATCATTGACTGCAAAGGCTTTTCATCAGATTATTAAAAACCTTTCTTATATTTAAGATTATGTCAGTTTGTCCAATTAATTTTGAGTCTCTCAAAATGTGGGACTGTATCTAAAAATGTCAGTAATCCCCTTAAATTAAAGTTTAAAGGCTGCACTTCAATAAAACAGTTTATATTTGATTTAAATTCCAGTGTGGTGGTTTTCAGAGGCAAAACTGCAAGAAATATGACTTTTACTAGTAAACTAACTATAAGTAATCCAGAGGAATTAATAAATCCAAACTAGTTGTGCATTCTGCATGATGGTGACGTACAACTGACATTTAATGCTGTTGCGTTAAAAGCATGCTTTGTTTGCTTCAGTATATCAAATCCTCCACTTCACTGCTTTTGTGTACAGCGATAATAAAAGTGGTTTAATAAAACAGGAAGCATCACAAATGCGAAAAGTTTATGCAGCGAAAAACAATTTTTTATTTGCCCTCATGCTTTGGGACAGAAGAGGTAATAATCCTTGTATAACCATCGTAATAGCCAGGCTAGCACTCCCAACTATAAGGAGGAAGTTATGAATATCCAACAGCATACTTCACACAGAGCGCGTCAGCAAAGCTGAATTTAATGAGTGTTGTGAGAGTTGAAAATGATGAGGTTGGTGAACAAATTTGTCAAAAGATTCACAAGTAAATGAGCGTCCCTCGCACTCACAACAATCATTAATTAGCCTTTAATCACAAAATAACTTGAACTCCATTAGTGATGCAGTCTGTGACAGAAAAGATGACATTACTCTTTTCCCGAACTGCTACGGCTTTTTCTTAGGTGCAAATTGTCACACAAGAATTAAGTCTCTTTAAATAAATTACCAAAAACTAAGTGACAAAAAAAGCCATCAATTTAACAGAGAGATGAAGACGTCTGAAAAGGCCTTTTAAGTAGGGTATTTTTTTGTCATGCTCCACAGACCTGCTTGGTAAAGGGATGGAGGGTGGAGGCCTTGGCACAGTGGGGATAGGTATGGGTAGGGCCGCTTTCCCGGGGATGTACCCCCCTGCTGTTGCGACACTGTTACCCAGTCGAGAGCTCCTCCCAAGTGGGTCTGCAGGTAGGGGCTTCTGGGGTGGACTGGGTTTCTCAAAGTCCTATAAAAAGAACACAAAAAGTACCAATTTAGTTCATGTACTAATTTAAAAAACACCACAAAGCACGTCAGTCTTATCTTGAGTCAGTGCACAGAGCAAGTGACCTTCTAAGCTTTTTTTTCAGTATGGATTAGTTGTGCAGCAGCTATCTGAACACAGACGCAAATGCGTTTCACTAGAGGGCACTGTGTTATCATTATCTCCTCTGAATTCCCACAGCTAACATGAGATGAATCCCAAACCTCCCCCTGCTCGTCTCCACCACCTCTGTGGCAGTGCTGTGAGAGGGTAGAAGGTTATCTGGATGAGGTGTCATCATGTGGTACTAATCTACACAGAGGGAGCGCGCAGTTGATAAACATCTGCTACCAGCTGCCTGGCTGCTATCACACACACACACAAACGGACATGCACAAAACCTTCCCACAACTGCCCACGCCATGGCACACGCACGCAGGTTTACATGAGCAAACTTTAAGTAATCTGCACGTGGAAGAAGAAAAAAATCCCCACATCATGCATGGATAAGACTCAGAAAGCTGGATGGTTTAAAACATTCATGAATGCAGCCAAGATGTGACCGAGTTTGTCACATCTACATGCAAGAGTTATAAACCTGTGTGTTCACTGCTGCGCAACCCAGGCGCCTCAAATGTGACAATCTTTCATGGCAACACTAAAGCGATATTCATTATTATTTAACTGCATGTATGCTTTTTTTCTTCGTTTTTTTTTTTTTTTTTTTTTTTACATAAATTGCAATAAAGAAATTCAAATGCAGTGATACTTTAAACTCACCAGACACACTTAAAGTTTAAACTGAGCATCAGAATGAGGAAGAAAGGTGATTTGAGTAACTTTGATTTTTGGTTTCAGACAGGGTGGTCTGAATATTTCAGAAACTGCTCATCTGCTGGCATTTTCCCACGCAAACATCTCTAGGGTTTACAGAGATTAGTCCAACCCCCCCAACCCCCACCCAAAAAAAAAAAAAGAAAAAAAAAAGCAGCTGGGTGATTGTTGATTTCAAAGGTCAGAGGAAAATGACCAGTCTCCTTCAAGCTGACAGGAAGGCAACAATATCTCACAAGTTACAACCAAGGTGTGCAGAAGAGCATATCTGAACAAACAACATCTAGAACCTTGAGCAGATGGGCTAGAGCAGCAGAAGACAAGACTGGGTACCACTCCTGTTAGCCGAGGACAGGAAACTCAGGGTGCAATTTGCACTGCCTCACCAAAACTAGACTGAATTAGAAGACTGGAAAAATCAGGTCTGTCTGGTTTGATGTGTCTCAGTTTATGCTGTGACATTTGCATGGGATTCAGAAATTAGTATAAACAAGATGAAGTGTTGCTGCATCTTACCCTGTATCAAAAATTCAGGCTGCCGCTGGTGGTGGTGTGCTGTGGCTGAGCTTTGCTTTAACAGCGCAGCCTACCTGAGTATTGTTGCTGACCATGTTCATCCCTCTATGACAACAGAGTAGCATCATTTGATGGCTGCTTCCAGCATGTCACAAAGCTCAAACCAGTTTAAACTGGTTTCATGAACCTGACAAATGGCCTTGAATAGAAAAGCTGCTCCAGTAAACTTGCTACCACAAGGGTAGTTGTGAAGGCCAAAGGGGGTTTAACCTGGTACTAGCAAGATCAACCTAATAAAATATCCAGTGAATGTTTATATAATAGAAAAACCCCACAAAATTTATGGCATGATTGACGGGAACACACGATTCATAAAAATGATGTGAATAGTTTTGTGTGTGAGAACTGACTAGCCTGTGTATCAGTCCCTGACCTCAACCCCATCCTCCTTAAATGGAGATATGAGTCAGACCTTACCTTGTCTAGTGTTGATGATTGAATGGATGTAAATCTATGCAGGCAAGCTCCAAAAATCGTGTGTCTATTCTTACTCACCCTGCACTTTGTCCATGGAGTGTATGTTAGTGTGTTGCTGCTGGTTGAAATACGCAACGAGAAACTAATATTACAGCAGCAAATACCAAATGTTTTCATTTTTTGGCAGAATAATCTGCGGTTTAATTTCTGGATAAAACCAGAAATGAAGCTGGTCCATAAAATGTCAGAAAATAAATAAAATCCTCCTAACAATTTTTCTTGCCAGTCTTTTCCAACCAGCAGTCCAAAATAAAAGCTTTACAACAGCTTTGCTGACATCTGCTCGGCCACAACAAGAGTCATGTCTGCAAGAAGCAGTTAGAACAAGAAGAGCTCTTTTCATTTACTGCATGTTGTTAAAGACAGTCATGTGAAAAAGGAAGTCTTCATAGGACATCATGCAGCCCTGTGAAAAACACACCCTTTGGCTCAAAAGCTTATAGAACCACCTTTAGCAAGAATGAAGTGAATGTATCTGTGTGATCACTGTTAAATCACAGTTAGATCACAGTTAAAGTGCTGATCACTGCAGCACTTTAACTTTTTCCTTTTCGGCATTCTGCTGCCGTACTTGGAATTATTTTCCTGTTTTATGACCTAGCCAAGCTTAAGCCGACAGACAGATAGCCTCGTATTTGAGTCCGCGGTACTTTGGTATACAGAAGAATTCATGGTTGACTCAGTGACTGGAAGGTCACATGGCTGAAAAACAAGCCCAAATTAATGCTGTGTTTGGTTTTTGCCTAACGTGGGGCGAGTTATCATGGCCAAACATCGCCTGTTTGGTCTGGTGGTCTATCCAAAGGACATTGTTGCTGCAGTCTTGTTGTTTGTTCAGATGCAAGGCTTTGTCTTGGCAGCCCTTCCAAACAAACTGTACTTGTTCAGTCTTTTGCTAATTATACTCTCATGAACTTTAACATCCTAACTGAGGTCTGTAGAGTCTGAGATGCAGCTCTTGTGTTTTTCTGAGCTTTGGACGGTCTGAACTTGGAGTGAATTTGCTGGGATTACCACTTCTGTGCATAATCAAGTGCATTTGAATAGCACCACCTGGCTTCTACTTACCGGCTTAATTCTCGTGGAAGCGGTAATAGTATTCTTAAATTTTCACAGGACTGCATAGAGCTCCTTTGTGGCCAAAGCACTTTGAGCAAGCAGTAGTGCTTGCTCATAGGGGGTCATATGATTGTTGGGTTTTTCTCTGTATGTATTATTGTAGGGTCTACCTTACAATATAAAGTGCCTTTAGGCGACTTTTGTTGTGATTTGGGGCTGTATAAAAAACATTGAATTGAATCGAATTTCCTTAATTATGTAGTGTTTGTGGTAATAACGTGTATACAGTGGGATTTTTATGCGATCCAATTTGAGATATCTGTGTGAATATTGTGTATCACCCACTGTGTCCTTTCCTGTGAGCGTCGTTCCACTACTGCCAAGCTTCTACATGAATTAAGTTTAAGTGAAGACCAACTCTTTAAGGGAAGAAAATCAGGCTGTTTTCCAGGGAAAAGCAGAAAAAACTAAGATGTAAATAGACAGATGCATCCACTGTAATGCAAGATTAATCCAAGACCCATGTGCATTGTAATACCACTCTTGGCAGAAAACCTCAAACTGTAACTGGAAACTTGGTGGTGTTCACATGTCTTAATTCACAATGAAGGATTGCGCCGTCCTCTGTGGCTTGAGAAAGATCTATGAGCCCTGAGCCTACAAGAACCTTTCAAAACCCACCGGAGGAACTGAAAAATGCGCGGTCGTCTTGCCAAAAACAAAACTATTTTTCTAGGTTCCTTAAAAGATGACATTTTGGAAAGGCACGATTTTCACTCCTCGCCAGTGTGACGCTGCAGTATGCTTGTGCAGTGCAACAAAACTGATCTGTTTCATATTTATTGGACTCTACGGGTATCTGATTTGTATTTTTCCTTCAGCAAGACTAGATAAAAAAAACAAACGGGTCGCACGCAGTTTTGTTTTCATCGCAACAAACGTGGGATAAAATTTACTGCCCTGGAAACACCTTGATATTAATGGACTGCGCTCGGCACAAAGAGAAACACTGCAAGACAAGGCGCTGTTTAAAATAAGACATACTGGCACAGAGAGCGGAGGTTGGGGTTTGTGTCAAGTCTTACAATAAACTTGTTAAACGCTTTCTTTTTAAGGACTGATGTCCTGTTCGTCCTTGTTGGCCTGCTATTAAATGTCAGCAGAACTCTGTCTTCTGTTTCTGACCCACATGTGCCATCTCTACTTCGCCCATCTGTTTCATTGCAATGAAATGAGCTAACAGATAGTAGCAGGTAGCGGGATTTCACTGTTTTGGCAGGCAGTGAGCAGCCAATTTATAGAGCAAACAGTGGCCTTTCAGCTAAAGTACATCTTTAGTTGGCACGCAGTCATTGCAATCAAGGGTAATATGCTGCAAAGCTTAACATGGACACCACAAAACCATCCAGAAGTGGATGCGATGCCAGGTGTTTCTGCTGCTCACTAATGCAAAAGTAGCCAATGCTTTAATATATATTTAAAATACACTTACATTGTATAAAGTAATTTATGTATGTAAAAAAGCAGAAGCATCTCTTGCATGGTCAGGCATTATTATGACTGAAATATAACCGTTAGTACAGAGTCATCAATGTATAAGTGGCAGTAATAGATATTGATGGTTTTAACTACTACCCCACATAAAGTTGATCTAATAAAGGTAGTAGCTCCTTTGATTGCATATGATCATCAGGTGATTTATGGCAGAAATTTATGAAAGTTCTGCTACAAAACTTTTCTCTCGTTTTTTTGCTCTTATGTGGGATAATTGTATGTTTTTGGGACAGCAAATACAATACTTGAAATAAAGTGATTTAGGAAGCCTACAGGGGATATGCCTCTATTATAAAAACTGCAGAAGGAGGCATTTGAAAGTGTTTGGCAAATCGCTGCATTTTAAAAACCTGATCACATTCTTGAGACAATCTATTTGTGTCTACTAATCTCGAAAAAACTTGAGCACATGTGCTCATTTAATTTCCACCATGTTATCCTCGGAGGTATACAAACCGGACCTTTCTTCGTGCTCTGCTTTAACATCTGGGACTATGTTCTAATGCAAACAGAGAAACAGATGCAAAACGAATGTCTTCCTCCTTATTTTTCTTTTTTAAACAGACAGACACATCTGCCAATTTCCCTTGCACCCCGCTGTGGCTCACAAAGCGCCGTCATCCAGCACAGCTCTCCTCGCTGTGCTACTCCGGGAACAAATCGGGATTTGGATCCACCACCCGAGCGGACAGATGGATTTACTATCTCCACCGACTCTGATTCTGCCGGCTCAGCAGAAAGCAGCACCTTACTCAGGAGCTGGGTCACCGTGAGGGAGACAGATTGAATTTGTTGTCGATATGTGGGCAGGCGAACCCACTGCAGTGCAGAAATCCAGCAGGTTCTGTTATCCAACATTTAGCTACAGCCTTTAAAAATGACGACACAGGTGGCTGTTCAAGTTTTAGGCCATTAGCTACAATTTCCATATATTTTACATTACTGCAGAACATTTTTTAAGGGTACATAGCTTTTCATATTAATTCTTACCCTCCAATCCATTGGTTTCTGTTACTTTTAGTAGGTTCTGAGACTTAAAATGCACTTTTCATCTGCCACAGCGAGCTCTATTCTGCTTTGTTTATTGTTGAAGTTACATTTCTATAAAACGTATCAAGGAAATCAAAAGAGAAAAAAAGTAAATCATCATGCATAACAAAATCATGCATAATGATTTCATAACACCACTGCTTCTGATTCTGATCTCCAAGCACACACACATTTATCTCAGCACAATATCTGGACCTTTCAGCCGCACCACATGAATCTTCCTCTGCAGATGGAGTCTGCCCTGTAATCATCGAACTGTGGATATTCAAATTAAGGACCGTAAGGACTTCTGATCGAGTCAGCGACTTTTTTTCCAAGGTAAAGAATTTAGCTTTTACGGATGAGGTGGGCTTAAAGTGCTTAGAAAACGTGAAATTTGAGCATCTGCTATTCCATAAGTGCTAAGCAAACTTCATCTGCTGAGGAAGATTGCTTTTTTTTGCAAACTGACTCAAATCTAAGCTGTCACAGTGTCCTTAAATGCCAGGGATTCATTGCAATTGACTGAGGATGTAACTTTAACAAAAAAAAATACCTGAATGTTCACCGTGACCTATTTCAGGGAGGCTTCAGGTCTTGGCAGGTTACTTTGGCACTTAACTGAAATGTAATAAAATTGATGGCGGCCTAGATATTGTGGAAAATAAGTATAGAAATGTGTGGCGTGGTTGAGAATATAGTCTGGAGTAATGTAGAGGAAAATATACACAACTTGAATTTAATGGGCTGTTGAGAATGTACGGTCCATTAAAGCTGTGGTCAACAAAAATAAATTGCAATTTTAAACTTTACAGTAACAATTTAAGACGAAGGCAAAGATAAAGCTTGTGAGATCAAAGGAAGTCCCATAAACCTGTTTCACGACAGCAATTATGCCATGAAGTGGCAGGTAAACAGACGTGTTAGTGATGATATTAAACACACTTCTGTGTGAGTCACGCTGTGCTGTGAAAAAAGGGTCTGTCAGTGTTTAAATAAATAAAAGCATTTATCAACGGGTTTTTTTTTTTCACACTAACCTGGTCCACTCTGTATGACGACTGATGGCGTGGCAGGCTGAGAAAAGGTTGCACCCTAGGTGGCGGGGAGCTGGACGCGTGCGTCGGCAGGACTTTGTAGTGTGCTGGCAGAGGAGGCAGGGTGGGCTGCCCCACACTGAGAGACACCGGCATGGGCTGACTGATGTGGAGGGGCTGGTAGAGGGGCAGTCTGCGCAGGCTGTGAGAGTGGAAGTTGTGCGGTGGGAGAAGAGGCTCTGCACTCAGGAGAGATGGCTGAAAAGAGATCGCACACGTTATTTCCAGTAATACGTAAATTGTAGTGAGCTGTGACAGGTAGCATACATAATAAAATGATCCTGAAACTAAAACTTAGAAATCAAACTGATTTTATACATTATGTTCAGGGACTGCGGCCAAATCTGGAACAAGGCATCTTTTCTCTCATGAGATCACAGTTTTTATATTTAGTCTTTGACAGATAAAGAATGAAACTATAACTAAATTAAACTTTACCTGCTTTTTTAAATATAACATATGCAAATGTGAAAATTCTCATCTGACAGGCTTTTACCTTCCACTCTCTCTTACCAAGATTATTTTCTAAACCCCTGCAATTTAGTCTTGTTGGTGCTAAAGTAATTAGAATGTGTGAACCGCAGACAGGCATTTTGATGATTCATTTTCTCTTATTAAGCAAAATGTCACAAATATTTCAGCTGCAGCTTCTGAACTGTGAGGACATTTCCACCCATCCATCGACGTTCTCGGGTCAACTGAGAAACGTAACCTCATTTCCTCCCACTTCTACGACACGCTGAAATGACCTCACCTAGGAGCCACTTCGGATGAATCCAGATCCTCGCACCAGCTTAACTGCCTCCTTTTGATAAACATTATGTGTTGAAAAGCTCAAGCAGCAACTGAAAGTATTTAGGAATGGTTGCCACATGCTGTATCTGGGTCAGGTTTGTATGTTAATTCTGGATCCACGTGGACTCATTAGCGAGTCTCACTGCACACAGAACATCATGAAAATATATTTCTGAGGTGACACAAAGACTACAAAATGTCTCACACACTTTGGATTAAGTCTTACTACCCTCTAGACTATATTAGATGGTGTCCTATGGCCTTTCGGCTCATGCCTCTCTTTAAAAAACAGTTATTGATGTTTGGCCCCGGTTGGTTTCACAGATCCTAAATTAAAGGACCCATATTACACCCCTTATTAGCCAGTTAATTCAGGTCTCACATGTCCCTAGAAGGTGTCTTTCAAGTTTCAGTTTAAAAGACCACACAGGTTGTTCAGTGTGCCACTGCTGCGTACCCATTTGTTTAAAGTCTGCTCCAAAAGGACTGTTTGAAGCACTGATCTGTTGCTGGCCAATAGCTGATGGTTTGACGGTTATTTTCACTATATTCTGAACCTTTCAGACCCTTTCAGACATGAAAATAATCAAACACACAATCTGCACAATGAAGTCATTAGGTGCAGCCTAATTTTGTCTAATGGTTCTAAAAGCTGAAGCCTGTGATATTAGGGTGAAACTGAGGTAACATAAAAGTAAAACCCAACTTTAGTCATAAAGTCTCATTAGCGTCAGAAAGCTGATGTCAGAATCAGCCATAAAACTGGAAAACAATATTATTAGATGTGATGTTGTGAAATTGTAAAAGTCCGACAACATGTCCTGACCAGCTGTTCACCCTCCGCTCCAGAAAAAACGAAAATAAAAAACCCCCAATAACACCAAAAATGGCCATAAAGGATTTGGCTGCTGGACAGCACACATGCACATAAAGAGAAAATGCAGATGTGTTCAAAGACAGCTGACTGACATCTGGACTTCTGACAACTGGCTGAAGTAATCAGAATAACGAGAACAGACAGACAGATCGACCTCACTCAGTTATTGTATTTAATATAACAATTTTTGCACATTTTTTGCAGATACTGGTGAGTGCAAACACAAACCAGATCCACACACCCACGATAAATAAATGCAAGTGCCTTTATTCTGGCACACAAACACAAGTGATAGGCAATCTCCTTCTGTGCTTATCGTTTCCAACAAACAAATCAAAGCCTATTTTCTTCCTCTGCCTGAATCAATCACCTCTGCTTCATTCTCACAGCGAAACAAACAAACAACTATTAAAGAGGCTCAAATAACAACATTACAATCTCTCATAGATAGTGTAATCTTTCAATTAAAGTTTCTCCGCATCCTTTCAACAACGACACTGTAATTAATACTGCTTCGAGTGAGAGATAGAGTGAGGCCGAATCGATTAGCCGGCATGCCATCATCTTGTTTTGTCAACGAGCATGGAAGCGTTACGGCTCTACGCCGAGGCCTGACTGCATGTTAGTGAAGTGCTCTAAGAAAATGTCATCATTACAAAAGAAACCAAACGGCCTGTGACAGAAATGAGCGCGCACACGCTCATATAGAGGAATTTCACGGTTGTATGAAGACACGGTGTAGGCCGACACGCATAAAGAAAGCTGTCTGACAGACACATTATGGAGACACTGACCTTAAAAATGTTAGCCCCGGAGGGTTTGGGGGGAGGCTTGCGCTGCGGTGTGGGTCTGTACATGGACTCGCTTCTGATGGGGCTGGTTGGCCTGGTAGCTTCCACGGATCTATGAGCACAGTGTAAGCAGTTTTTTTAATTTAGACATTTATATTTATATTTCACTACATGCCTCCTGCTATGGTATGATATAGGGAAGGTATAGCACATTAGAAATGAAGCCTTTTCTTGTTTCTCAGTGCAGAAATATTACCCATATCAACAAAAAAGAGCGAAAAATGATAGTTGCCTGCCTATTTATACTTCCACACTCCTGCTACCACTGCTGTATTTGTATCTAACAGTGCGATCACACCCCTGATGAAGCAGATCAACTTAGAAAATCACAGTTTCAAGTTTGTAAATCTGTTACTCATTTGCTTTTAGCTCTGCTGGTGCTTTAAAAAACTCCTGAGGGAAATATCAGCCTTGTCAGCAGTGAAATGATTTATAACGTTCACCAGCTTTCACTGACTGTGTTTGTTTGAGGTTTGGTGACAAATATGTGGCACGGTGGGTAAACTGTCCAGAAAAGATCGGTGGCTAAGTTCAAATATATGCACATTAGGTTAATTGGGGATTGCTTATTGGCTGTAGGTGTGACTGTGAGTGTGAATAGATCGGTTTAATCCTGAGATGGAACAGACTCCTTGCCCACATGACCCTGAATTATATAAGCAGTTACGAAAATTGTCAACTATGTATATTTTGTGTACAAGTTTCCCATAAATAAACTTGCAAGAAAACAAAAATGCAAATTTTTATGAAATTTTCTTCTGCTTACGGGTTTTCAGAGGGAAATGTTACCTGAGTTTCTCCAAGGTGCTCTTCTTATTGGTGAAGAGGAAGCGCAGCAGAGTCTTCCTCTTCAGAAAGATGATTACGGTGGCTACCATTAGACTCACCAGGGTGACCAGGATTGCCACAGTAATCAGCACGCTGTCAGCTGATGCCATATATGACAACACGCACATTAATACACACACACGCACATCTACAGCACGGAACAATGACAGGACATAACGTAAAGACCGTTACAGCTCGGCCATGGCCAGCAGTTCACACAGTTCACATTTCTCTGCTCATTTCTGCTTCTCACTCTATTCCTTCTTTTTCTTTTTTTAATAAAAACTGTTTACAGTATAATGTATTACAGGGTGGAAAGGGAGTTGTGTTGCACTAGGAAAGTTACACTTTAGTCCAAACCACACATTAATCCAGAAATGACTCTGCAAGAAAGAGACGTATAAGGAGCTTTGTGTTCCTGCTTATTTCTGAGTTAGTGTTGTTGTTTGTCTGCCTAGATGAGTGACGATAGAACTTAAACTGTCCACACTACCTGCAGCTCTCATTGGCCCGCTGTCAATGCTCCCACCAAAGCCGGCTGTCTCGCAAAACGGCGGTGCCCAATGTGCTTCACAGTGGCAGTTCTTCTTGTTGTTGCAAACCTGTAAACAAGGTACTTTTAGTGTGTATTAGATGCAATATTGACTATTTCTTTTGTCTCCGGCATCAAATAGTATCAAACGGCCTTAGATCTAACAGCAAAATCACAAGGTGCAAACTAAATTGGTCATAAACCATTAAATAAAGCAATCCAACAGAGCACTGACTGTGCTTGTGTGTGTACACTTATAATAGATAAAGCATGTGGAAGGGAGAGACTGTCCCCTAAAGCCTCGAGTTTCCAGTGCAGAAGTTTGATCCAGGAGGATTCCCTGGTGAAATAACGCAGTCCAGCTGTCAGGTGGATAGAAGAGGAGACAAATAGAGAGCTGAGCAGCTGTAGGGGATTAACATAGCACAGACATACAGTCCAGAGACTTCCCTGCCTCCAGGCCATGGACACTCCTTTGCATCAACTGATAGGGTTAAGAGGCACTTGGGGGGTTGAGAGGGAGTTATGGATTGAGCGAGATTTATATTTGTGCGAAGGGAAATGTTACCATAATGCGTCATGAATAAAAACTGAAGCAGATGTGTGAAAGATGTGCGAAATCTAAGTAGGCATCAAATTCTTTAAAACTCTGTGGGGCAGCTATAGAGAAATGGATTACATCTCCTATATGCGCACATGTAAAAGCCATTAATTACTTTTAAAAGTCTAAGAACATCTATGTGCTTGAAATGGTAATTAGATGAAACCACAATCAGCTACTCTGGTGCACACAGACACACATTTTGATCCGATTATTTATAGAAAACGTGGCATTGATCTGTGTTTAAAAGGTGCAAAAAAAAAGCCCCCAAAGTGCTTTTTTACCTGCTAAATAAGTAATAAAAAATAGATTCCAGCGTCAATACAGCGCATGCATTGTGAGATAAAGCAAGAGGACTTGCAGGCAAGCTCCTAAGGTAAATTCAGAGCATTACTGCTTTCCCAGTCAGGTCTCGTACTGTGCGAGGTGTTTGACAAAATGGTAGGCAAATTATTCTTGGCAGATATTTCTGCAGGAGGGGAGATGCAGCTCTACTTCGCACAGTGGGAAAATAATTTTCTCAAATTCCCCCACAAAGTCATTTTTAATGTGATTATTTTTGAGCCAATCAACACGCGGCTACAATATTTTGTTTGTTGCTGTTATTTTCCATTTACAAGCTAATTTGTTTCACAGACATTTAGCAAATTATAAGAGAATAAAAAAAAATATCTCAGAATCATAGCTTTGATTTCTTGTTGCACAAAATCTCGGCGCTTTACGATGCCGTAATTGAGTTGGTGTCTGTAAATTCATCTCGCCTGCGGTGAATGTTTGATTCACAGAACTAAACAACAAACTAAATAAATCATAAAAGCACCCTTTGCTGAATTATTAATAAGAGAAAAGGGTGATCATTTTAGAGCAGTGCGAGCTGCTTTTATGCTGCAAAAAAAGGACTATTGTGTGCAGGTGGACACCCTGACGTGCTGCACTGGCTCTTCTCCCTTTGTGTAGTAAAAAAGATGATGGACAACAATTTAAGTAGCCCCTAAATGATGCTGTAAAAGTGATTGATTTAACCTCGGTGGAACAATGAAGATTGATTGTACGTAATAGGAGAAGCTGCCATAAGTCAAAGGCTGTATTGTAAATACATTGTTGCTCTGCTGTTGTTTGCAATTACGAGGTATATGTAGCTGTTCCAAATGCAACTGAATAGATAAATACAGAGTTCTCACAGGCTTTTGACACTGTTTCAAAGGCTACAGTGTATAATTTAACACTAAAATTTGAGCTAATAGGTACTTGCACTCACCCCACGTCCACTGCACTTTCCCGAGCACTCATGCACACCAAAGACGCTGACATTCTGGCATTGCCGATTCAGGCACACCTATAAAGAGAAAAGCACCATTAAATATTTCAGGAGTTGCTGAATTCAAGAGTCCATGAAGATGAGCAGAAATACTAAGAATAAGAAGACGGGTTTATACTTCTGCAGAACAGCTGGAAAATATCTTATTTATGGACATCATAAAGGAGCATCATTGATGCCTGCTGCTAACTCAAACAGAAGAGTGCAGCTGCCCTGTGAATTTTTATCAAACGGTCTTGAAGTTGAAATTAACATGATCAATTAAAACTACAAATGCTGCATATAAATGTCATGATTAGGCTAACATCTGAAGAGACGTCTGTGGGAGATTTACAGCGAAATAAGCAATTTCCCACTCAGGTGGAAGTGCCGAATGCTGCTCAGGTAGCTGCAATGCGGTGCGGGGCTGAAGAGGCAAAAATCACAATAAGCTTTCTATTCTTTAGATCAAACAAAAACATCAGAATGTAAAAAAGACGGTTGCTTTTATGTAGAAAATAAGGCCTGCATTAGGCAAGCAGCTCTCATCTTGTTCACTGCTACACAGCAAAATCTCCAGTGTTAATTTAACACTGGAGATTTTGCTGTGTATTGCTGTGCAGGCTGTGAGCTGCTAACTTAATACCCTGATTGGCATGGAAATACAAATCCTTTTTTTAGAGAACAAAGGCACATGACAAACAGCCACCTCCAGGCCATCAAAGTTTCCAGGGCGCTAAGTCATGACTTGGGAGACTGTAGCCAGGAGACAAACTAACCTGGCTGACGTCCATTTTGCACACACAGCTCAATGGGGAAGGTACAAAGGCACCAAGGTACGTCCCTGGAGGCAACTGAAAAAGCACACTTGTAAACCCTATTATTTAGTTCCACTGCTTGTAAGAGAAACACAGCTATTTGAAACACTTTTTATAGGCAACCTTATGCAATACACTAAATGTCTCCTGTGTTAAGAACAACCGTGTGAAACCTGGTTATTTTCTTTTGTGACACAGCCCTCACACGTTTAGCCAAGTTTCAATCACAAATGACTTTCACAAGTCCAAATCCACAGCTCTGGGGGGATTTGGTAAATGAAATCATCTAAAAATGCCTGAGAACTCCCGAGCAGGCATCAAGAATATCTGCAAGGATTTAATGCTCAATGACCTATTCTGACTTGTAGGAGCTTCACCAATCAAGTCAAGTGATAACTCCAACACCTACTATGTCCATAAAAATAATTTCAGATCATGCATACTGGCCTTAAACCCCTCCCAAAACCTGATATGACTCGAGGATCAAAAGGCATGAAAAAGGCATCGTTCTGGGGTCCAATGAAGAGTCCATGTGGTCCCAGCATGTCACTCAAAGCATTTGCTGCCAGCATCTTGGTGCCAGAAACCATGGGCCAAGCCCAGCATTTGTGACCCTGCCCCAATGGGTCAAAGCTGTTTTGGCAATATGGAAACAGATCTACTCAATAATAGGCAGGTGGGTTTAATGTCCTGGCTGATCAGTGTGTGCTCCCTCAACCGATTATCATCAAATCAGCAAATGTTGTAGATTGAAGAGGCAGTTAGGTCGGTAAGTTATCCAGTCGAAAGCTATTAACCTCCTACTTGGCAGGAGTAGGGACTGATGTCAGTGATGTGGTGAGAGAAGTTTGGAGAGGAACAAAAAGACAGAGAAAAGTTGAGAGACACACCTAATAAAACCAAGAGCTCAAAAAAAAGTCTTATTCAGCCCTAAGCAAGATGTGCAAAAATGCTCAGTGGATTCACACAGTTAGCTTTATTGGCCATTTTCTATAGGAAGTGAAAACCTTGCTGTACGGTCGGGTACTCCTCAAGGGAATGCAACTTCAGGTTCATGCACTTGCGAGCCTTTTAGCATCTCTAGAGAATATGAATTAAACTGCATCCTGTTTTTATAGGACAACAAACAACAAGCTAACCGATACTGTAGTTAATGAAAAAAAAGAAAAGAACAATATTATAAAATTCTGCTGTAGATACTGGGGTATAATGTTGAGCAGTACTCGATTCATTACATTAAATCTTGAATATAAATAAAGTTTTAACGGTTGAATTGAAGGCCTTTATATTACTGATCACTCACCATGTTGTCTCCACACTTTGTGCCAGCCAGCACCAGTCCAGGGTCAGGCATGTCATCGCCCAGGTAAACATGTGTTCCTCGACACAGAATACGTCCTCCTTCTTGCAGAGGGATGTTAGTTTCAATGGAAACGGCATTTGTTCCGATCACTGGGCGGTTGGCTCCACCCTGGCACTGGATTTTACCACACTTTGCATCACTGCATGGAGCACATACACATACAGAAACACACACACATAGTACAACTTAAAAAAAAAAATAATGCTGCTCTGTCAATCACAGTGGAAGATCAGTAACTGCAGAGGAGGATGAGAGAGTGCTGAAGGGGCCTGCAGTGATTCAGTCCTCCGGTCATCAAAGCAATTACATCAATTAACAAAAAGCTTGATTACAGAATTTACCAGAAGGGAGAAGATCTTAAGAACAATTAGCTGACAAAAATAGAATAAATTGATTCATGAATACTTTCTTAATTAGCTGCTATCTTTCTGAAATTACATTATTCAGCCATGCAAACTTTAGATTGAAGATCACGTCACAGCATAATGATGATTGCCAATGACACTACGTGAGCTAATTAGCTTTGTTTTCCACAGTAATTTCTTTTTACCTTTACCACATCAGTGCAGCCGCAGCATTACCTTGCATCACATTTGGCAAAGGAGCCTTTGGAGTCCTTCCCGCAGTTCCCGTAAGGATCGCCTGCAGAGTTGACTCTCTCAAAGCAGATCCCAGGGGCGGGCTTTGCTCCTTTGTACAGAGACAAACAAGAAACCACCCCCCACAATGTAATCATGAAAATGAAACAATGTTTTACCTTAGAAAAGCAAAGATTATGCATAAATTTGCAGGTGGCAAGCATCCACTGATTTACCTGCTCCCCACAGAGTGATGCATTGCTGCTCGTGAGTCTGGCAGATGCCATTGTAGCAGTAGCCGTCAACGTTGTGGCAGGCATGTCCATCATGTAGATAAACGTTGGCTGGGCAGTGAGGGCTGGCACCAGTACAGAACTCTGGCAGGTCACATGAGTTACTGGTTTCCCGGCAAAGGGTGCCAGCAGGTTTGAGCTGTGAATATATAGAGTGCTGTACATTAGACCCCCTTTTACAGTAGATAAACACTGGCTCATTGAACAGCAGCTTTATTTAGCTCTTTTTTGCTTTTGGGCTTTGTAAATGTTCCGCATAGCTATGGAAGTGGTGGACAGGAGGGCATTTCAATCTATGAAGCTATGCCAGTCTGCATCAATAAAGGGTTTTAAAGGTGATATTTGCAGGTTAAGGCTTAATTAATGAAAGACGTGACCATAAACCCTGGCTTTTCTCTTGTGGATCTGCCAAACGCAAGATAATCTCTAAAAGGAATTTAAAGAAGATTTGAGGTCGACTCCAGTTTAATTTGTTTTTGCTCTCATCTATTGTGTTGCGAGTTTCTGTTTTGTGCTGTAATCAAAAGTTTTATCAAGTGTTGGAAATATTGGGATGATCACTGTTATTACTGGTTGAAAACATCAAAGCTTTTGGATGCTGAAATAAAACCAGTAAGATTGTTTAACAGTTTAAAAGTGTCTGGAAGGGCTTAAATCTGAAAATGAAATGAAAAACTACAAGGTCATATACATGCCCAAAAATAGCTTTAAATATAATACTGTGCAAGAGTCTCGATTAGCCCCTTATTTCTCTATATTTGACCAGGAAAATGGGAAATTGGTAAAACAATTTAAACATGGGAAAACATATATGAAAACTTAGGAAAGCTTTCTTGTAATATCTTCAAGTAGTCTTCAGGAATAGTTCTCCAGGTTTCTTGTAGGACATTCAAAGCTTTTCTTTGGATGCTATGTTCTGGGTCAGGATGATCCCACACTCCTTCAATAACGTTGAGGTCTAGGCTCTGGAGAGACCAATCTATGACTGATAGTGTTATTTTCCTTACCCAGGTATGCTTTTACTCCATTGGCCGTGTGTTTGAGATCATTATCATGCTGGCAGGTGAAGCCATTGCCAACCAAACACTTTCAAGATGGTGATGCATGGTGGTTCACAGTCTGACGGTACCTTTCTGTGCTAATTATTGCATCAATTTTAACAAGATCTCCAACACCACAACTAAAATGTGAAATGCAGTCCAAACCCTGACAGAGCCTCTCCTGACCTACTCCGTCCATACTGATGATGAGTTAAACTAAAAATTTGGATCAAATTTGGATCTCTCAATGACTTTAGTTGCCTCTAATTTTCAGTCCAGTTCTTCTGTAATCTGGTCGACCTCAGCCTTTTCTCCATGTTTCTGTTCCTGAAGAATGGCTTCTTAACAGCCACTCTTTCACTGAGACCATTTCTAATGAGTCTTTTGGTGAACAGTAGATGGATCAACTGAAAGGCCAGAAGCATCTCTTGCGTTCTTGGTCAGGTCATTGACGAATCTGTTCCTATTTCTTAAGGACATGATTTTCAGATACTGTCCATTTGTTGGAGATAGATTTTTTTGGTCGTCACTTCTTTCGTCCTGCATTTGTTTATTTCAGGACATACTGCACACCATACGGAGGTATGCCAAGCTTTCAGGTAATAGCTCTCTGGGAAACACCTTGTTGGTGCAAAAATGCTATTTTATACCTGTCTGAGTTATCTTTGGCATTTGTGATTGATTTAAGTAAAGAAATAGGAGCACATTGGGTTTTTTGTGACAGGCTGCTGGTAACAAAGTGACTAAAGGTATTCGGTTAAGCTGTCTGTTATGTGCAGACACAACACTGATTCACCCTTTGGGTTGGTAAGTTTTTATGCTTGTAATAATTCATAGGTCAGTGTTAAACAACAACAAACAACAACAACCATCACAAACATTCCTCTGAAAGCAATTAGGTTAAAGGACTGAAAATAAGAGAAAAAGCAGCCGAGGTTTGACGAAAAACTTTGAAATACCTTTGGAAAGTAGCTCTAGATTATTTTACAGTACTGTACTTATGCAGCAAAAACAAAACATGAAGCTGTATCTTGTGAATAACACTTTGCAGTACTTATATCTTAAGATATATAATTCTGCAAGGCCATCAATGGCTCTCTAAATGCAATCCTTCGAATACATTTTCAACAAGTACTTTTTTTGAAAAGAGAAGACCAAAGATAACATAAAATGATTTCCATGGCAAACAAAAACCATGAATATTTAAGACGAAGCAAATCTTAGGCTATCCAACTTGAACTTGAATTTAATTGAAACCTTCCTATTGATGTAAGATATACAAATTTGGAATAAAATCACCCGAGATATGAAATTATACAAACAAGCAGACTCACACCAGTAATAACCTTCTGCCGAGAATTAAGAGTTTTAGAAAGTTTTTATAAAAAGTGAAGCTCTGAAAAGCTTTTACAGAATTTATTTGGCTCTTAGGAACGTATGAGTGCATGTAAATTAAAAACAGTTGAAGGACAAAGTGAAAAAGACCAAGAACTGCATGAAATCTCTTACTCTGCAGCCTTCACAGCACTGTCCGTGGGCACACACAGCATCTTCCTTCAGGGTGCATGTGGTGGCATTGCAGCACGGGTTCATGCATTCCTGGAGGAAAAGAAAACAAGTTAACAACATGCGGACCTGATCACTTTCCTGAAGATCCACTGCTGGTTGCTCCCTGTCAGATAAAGACTTCCAGGTCAGGGGAGATGTCCGGAGATTCCTACCCTGACCCGCAGACCCTCGAAGGGACACATATAAACTCAGGCTCATATGTTTTGGATTTGGCAAATTCTTTAGACATTTAGAGTAGTGAAAAAAAAAAGGAAAAAAAAAAGGAAAGGAACATGTTTAATGCAATACGCCCCCTCAAAAAAACAGAAGACAAGCAAGAGATAGAAATCAGATGAAGCTCTTAAGAGGGCGTGTGTTAAAACCTCCACTGAGATTTGATGCAGATAACAGAAACGTGTTTCGGAGTTGACTATTAGGGCATCGTGGCCAGAAGCAGAAACGGGATTTGAAGATTGTAGACACTTTACCACAATGACAAGATCAGCTTGCAGAAAATGAGCCGATAGAGCATGTGTCAGGAGGAGCTGGATGGGGAGTAACGCCGTAGCAAAAATCCCCAGTGAGGCGTTTATCTGTCGATGTTTATCTTTTATTGAATCCCAAAACACATCAGCTTTGTGCAAGCAGTGCTAGAAAGCACACTATTTCACAAAAACAAACAACATAGCTGTTTAGCCTGTGGGGCCCTAAGGTAATGACAAGATGTGTTGAAGGTGGAAGGTGGAGGCAGGCGAGTTGTTGGATGTCTAATTTTCAGTGTATGTGAGGTTTTATGATTATGGCTGTTTACCTCTTGGCTCTGATGTAGGCCTTTTTTTTAAGAGGGAAGAAGAAAGTTGCTTTCATCTCTTGGACTAAGTGGGTCGGCAGATCTAACAAGCACAAGCCCGTGTGCTGACATCATGGAGGTTACAAAGAGGTAAACTGGCAGAGATGGAACTACCGAATGGAAAATTTATGGTTAGTTTGTTGGTGGTCAAACATAACGACTTCACCGAAATACAATCTGCTGCCATCTAAATGATGGAGAACACAGTAATAACAGCACTAATCGAACAAACGCAATGTTGAGTCAGTCGAAGTTCAGCGAGTTGAAAACAGAAAAAAAAGCAGTCATTTAATTGGAAAAAGCATCAACTCGAAGACTGTCCTGGCGATTACATCGTGTCAACTTCAGTAAAAACTATTTGAACTTTTCTGCTTAACATGTCAGTATTTTAAGCTTATTAGCCTAATGGCTCTATATTTGGATCTCTAGAGTAAACAGAGCTTGCGAAAAACAAGGTATAAAATCCACTAGGCAATAAATGTCATTTAAATCTACCAGATTACAGATTGTTATCAACAATTCATATCTCATTTTATAGCTGCAGTTGGTAAATGTTAATTAAGCTGCCACAAAACTCTACGCTGCTTCTGGCTTTTCAGACAACCAAAGGTCAAAACTCACCTGAATGTTTGAATTTAAGTTGAAATTCTAATTATTTGCAAATGTAACGGCAAAACATATAAGCTTATGCATAAGTTCCGTAACAAAAAGAAAAAAACAAAAACAAAACATCTGTATTGACTCGTCAGCCTTGATTGCTGGGAATTTGGGCTGCCAGTCTATTCTTTGCATCACTCCAGCCTTCCCACGCAGTCAAACTAAATTCTGTCGTCATCACTCTGGTCCAACCGTTTATTTCCTGTCTTGAGCCTTGTAAGCCTCCACCTCATCTCCAACTGCATCAAGTCTGCCACCACCAGCTTCTGGACTCTAGGGGTTCCTGTCCCAATCGTGTAGGATGATCAGAGTTTAACTGCCAAACAGTTCACTACTCAAACTCTGTCCTTCAATAAATCACTCTGTCCAAATGATCTGTCCTTACTGAAATCCACACTGCTCAAAAAAATTAAAGGATCACTTTTTAATCAGAGTATAGCATTCAGTCAGTTAAACGTCTGGGATATTGATCTGTTGAGTTAAGTAGCAGAGGGGGTTATTAATCAATTTCAGCAGCTTTGGTGTTAATGAAATTACCACAGGTTGATTTTTTTAAGCTAATTTTGGATTTGCATTTGTCACCGCTGGTAACATGAGGATGGCACAGTAATGGTTCGATAAAATTATTAATCCCTCGAGTGGGTTCCTCCGGGAAATTTAGTAATGTGTCATTACTAGAAAGTTTGCTGTGTCTCTAACAGAGTCTCACGATCATGGAGGAGGCAATTACTCTAGGGGAGCTAGACAGGGCCGTAGAAAGTCTGTAACTCACGAGCAGCTCCTCCGTGAAAGGAGGAAGAGGAAAAGCATTGCCGCAGTTCTACAAAATGACCTGCTGCAGGCAATTGTTGTGAGTGTTTCTGATCAAAAAATCTGAAACAAACTTCATGAAGGTGGACTGAGGGCTTCATGTCCTTTAGTGGGTCATGTGCTCACTGCCTAGCAGCATGGAGCCTTACTGACGTTTGCCACAGAATCCCAGAATTGGTAGGTCCACCACTGTTGTCCTTTTCACAGATAAGAGCAGGCTTACTATCAGCACCTCCGACAGACGTGAAAAGGTCTGGAGAAGCCGTGGAGAGCGTTATGCTGCCATCATTTAGCAAGACTGGTTTGGTGGTGGGTCAGTGACTTTCTGGGGAGGCACACCCACGGAGGGATCCACCGATTTCTATAAGCATTTTAATAAAGTTATAAAAGTACATAACGGGCATCAAGGTTGCGGAACGGTTAGCACCACCGCCTCACAACAGGAAGGTTAGCGAGGGGATCATGTCTACGTTGAGTTTGCATGACCTCTCTGTGCCGGTCTTCTCTCCAGTTACTCTGGCATCCTCCCAGAGTCCAAAGTCATGCATGTTAGCTTAATTGGATGTAGATGTGAATGTGACCTGTACATGTACCCTCTCTCTTAAACTAAGTAAGTAATTTTTTTCACAGAGAGGCAGTCACAAGGTAAATTAAAGTAGACTAAAATACATAAAAACCACAATAAAATACAGTAGAGTACAGTAAAGTGCCACTGACAGCAAAACAAGAATAAATTAAAGTGCAGAATAAAAGAAAAACAAGTTTGAAACTGCTGTTTAAATGAGTTATTTGTAGCAGGAGACTGTTTTCAAGTCTTGATGTCACAGACTGAAAGGCACCACCCCCTCAGTTTCTGATTTTATGCGAGGAACAGCAAAAAAAATTCTGAGCCTGCGTTCAGCGCTGGGATCAACAGTCTGGAGCCTGTCCAGTTAATGCTCTTTATCCGAGTACAAGAATTTTAAATTTACGGATCCTAAATGCTACTGGGAGTAATGTGAGCTTGCTTATTAGAACATGTTAGCAGTCTGGCAACGGCATTTCGTACAGCTTGAACATGTGAAAGAGATTGTTTATCTAAGCTGGACTAACTCATAAATCATTTTCTCCAGTTAAGCCGAGGAGAGCATCGTCACAATTTATAAGGGAATTCCTTAAGTGAAAGAAACAGGAATGAAACGCAGATTTTACACGGAAGTCGAAGCCCAGAGAGGAATCAAATATTACGCTAAGATTTTGCAGCTAAAGGAAGCAAGTGTTTTTTTAGGATATAACTTGGAAGAGGCTATAATCACGGTGTTAGTCTGATTGGAGTTTAAAACAAGCTAATTGTTGGAGAGCCATATTAAAGGCTGGGGTAGACTCCAGCGCTCATGCAATCCTGAATTTGATTAACAGTTCAGAAATGGATGACTGAGAAGTACATCATTAGATATGGGGCAATAATATGTGCAGGATGTAGATATGATAGTTCATTTATAAGGAAAGTGACAAGCATTTAGTGGCTCCAGCTTCTCAAGATGACTTTCTGCACTGTACAAAGATAATTAATGGACTTAGCAAATGCCTCTGAAGGGCATTTGTCACTATTTTCATTGTATATTGAGCAGGAATTTCAAGTGATATATTTCTCACTATATTTCCTGTGATTTCCAAGCAGCTGGGTTGGCTACAACAGAGTGTTACCTGCTTCCCACATGCGATTTTCACTTCCCTTCACAGGGTAGTGTATCCTGCCGTGCACACGAGAAAGAAACAATGTGTGCATGGATGCGTGCATCAGACTTTAGCTGGTACAGCCAAAGAAAATGTGTTTCAGCCTCGACCTGATTTGTTTGTTTCCTTTGTCACACTGTTATACAGTGGTTTGATTAATGGGCCTTCAGCGGGGATATGGCATCAGCCGAGCGGCCTGTCAGAGCCTCGCTCCACACATGTGGGAAATCAAGAGAAGGTGTGATGTAAATAAAACACTTACACGGGAAGCCTTGGGTGGCTTGCTGGTTTTTGGGTTGGTATTTTTTTTTCAGCTTACTAGATTTCTCTGCTTTTAAGTCATAAAAACACATTTCAGGGTCAAGAGAAAGTTTAACTTGGAAGTTTGTTGTGGTTTGTTTTAGGGGTCTGAGTGCGTGGCTGAGACTTTCAGTGGTTCTGGATGATTGCTTATAGGACAGTAACATTGTTTCCATAAAGCACAGTTTGCAAGGGAAATGTCAAGTAAGACAAGTGCACAAAAGTTGTTTTTTTTTTTTTGCATTATTCATTCACAACCAGTCATTTCTTACATTTGGGAATAAACATATTGATTTGAAGACATGGTTTACTATAAGCAGAGAATATTTTGGGAGGTTTTTGGGCATCTTGGAGAAAGGGATACTCTTTTATTTGTCTGAATTCCGATTCTCCAAACTCACCAAGGGGAAGATTGACTGAAAACATTTGCTTTCTATGCACTTTCACATTTAGCTTTACATGCCCTGTTCAGTGGTAACCACACAGGTGGAGATTGATCCACTCCAATGGTGCAGGTGTGGTTGAATGCCTTTTGTGTTGACCTTACCTCTGGCTCCCCGCAGTCACACTCTTCTCCCTCCTCCACATAGCCATTGCCGCATTTTTGGCCTCCGTAAAGCACCTTGACCTCGGGCATGTTGTACAAACACATTCCCACGCCTTTCTCCAGACTGGCGGCAAGGTCCTTCTTACTGCATGTGCTGAACACGGTTGGAAAGGGATACCTGCAACAAGAATGTAGGAACAAGGCTGAACAAAATGAAAGAATGGAGAGCATTAATACAAATTCCACAAAGATAAAACTCCTTGATGTGTGCCTTTAACAAAAAATATGTCAAGAAAAGTGAACTCAATCACTCTGCCTTCACTGCAGCCTTTGTTCAATCTGCTCACTCGAGAGGTCTTTTCACACAAATTTAATGGTCTACTGGCATTATATGAACTCCATCTCGATGGATTTTCTATCCTACATGATACATAAATGGTCCTTGAGATGTCCAATATAAACATTTTCTCTGGCAGCTACATTTTCAAGAGTCATATCCTGGTTAGAGAGGGACAATTTAAGCAACTGATTGGATGGAAGAGGTGTGGTGTGCTGGGATGTGGATGATTTGTGTCTGAGCATGTGTGCATGTGAAACCTTTATGAAATACCAAGCCCGAAACCATATCATTTCTACCGCATTAATTTCATTCCCTAGTATCACTTACCTGAAGTGCTGACTAACGTCTAATTTAGCGAGGAAAGAAATGGAATTTCTTATAGAAAGGAAGAAAGTGTTATGACTTTAAAGATGAAACTGTGTGATATGCCAATAACAGCTGTGAAGCCCGGGGAAACGGCCCCTCCTGTTGGAGTGAGTTCCTGCGACTCCACAAACCAAAGAGATAAATAGGGCATTGAAGGAGGTGAGGGACTGACACTGAAAAAAAAGAAAATAAATAAAATGCAGAAAAGTAGGACAGAGGAAAGGATTCGTGCACAGTGTTGCCAGAAACAGACCAAAGGAGAGTGGACAAATAGTGGAAAAAAACTAGAGGGAGATCAGGAATAAATAAATCGTGGACTAGAAGATAAAAATCTTGCTGTTTGGACAGGAGTGGGGACAGAGATTTGGTCACGAGTGGCAAAAAGCCTGCAAAGAGGCAGCAACCAACCATGAAGACGCAAAAAAAGTGACATAAAACATCTAAACAGATCCCAAATGGCTAAAAAAGAAAAAGGCAGGGAATGATTAAAACAGGACAAACCAGTTCAAAATGACCCTCAAGACTTGCAAAACAATAAAAAAATAGACATTTTAATCATTTTATATGCCCTGTGTCAAGTTTGGACTCTCAGTTAAGGCTTGAATAGTAAACATGCTAACAGAATAAAACACAACCCAGAGGATATATTGCATTACAACCCAGCATACAATAGCAACATAACCGAGACTCCGGCTACATTCTTCATGCCAGCAAACAAACAGGAACAGCATCACAAAAACACTCAGAGAAAGGCAGGCTTTGGGGTGTAAAATGGATATCTCAGAGCTCACACAGCTCATCGAGGGACACACTCGAGCTTCAATAAAAAAAGAGGACGAGAGGAGGATATGGGGTGGCAGGGAGCGATGGCTAGCGGAGAGGATTGGCAGACGTGGCACGGAGAAAAGGAGCTGGCATTGGATGCTTGAAAAGCTTGACATCAGAAAGAAACATGTCACACACGTACTTATGCAGCGATAGACTGACTGGGGTCTTCAAACGCAACGGGGTGTGGAGGCTGTCTGCAAAGCTTGAGGCTTGACAGGGCAGATTTGTGAAAATTCAACATTACACAGAATATGTTTGTGGAGCCTGGCAGTGGACAGAGGTGGGGGGTAGGGATGTGTGATGCTTTGCCTTTGCCTAAGGGGGATTTGGCTGTTGCAACTGCATGGATATTTCACTGTTGTTAGTTGACTATAGTGAAGCTCCTCCTGAGGGGGCTTGAGATAAGGGTGGAGGCATTCAATGGAAATGGACACACTCTCTCTCTCTCTCTCTCTCTCTCTCTCTCTCTCTCTCTCTCTCTCTCTCTCTCTCTCTCTCTCTCTCT